CTGGGCAACTTAGCAAGACCTCATCTCTACAATAAATCAAAATGAGCCAGGCGTGGTAGCACGCGCCTATAGTTCCAGCTACTCGGAAGGCTGAGGCGGAAGGATCACCAGAGCCCAGCAAATAGAGGCTGCGGTGGCCGGGAGTGGCCACTGCACTCCAGTGTGGGTGACAGAGTGAGACTCCAACTCAAAAAAGAAAAAAAAAGAAATTAGCCGGGCGTGGTAGCGTGCGCCTGTAGTTCCAGCTACTTGGAAGGCTGAGGCAGAAGGACTGCCGGAGTCCAGCAGGTCGAGGCTGCAGTGGCCGGGAGCGGCCACTGCACTCCAGTCTGGGCGACAGAGTGAGACTCCAACTCAAAAAAAAAAGAAAAGAATCCTGTTCCAGGATCCATCATAACAGGACATAAACTTACCATGATTGATGGCACAAACACATCCTTTTATGTACTGGGCTCAGTTCCATAACATCCTGCAAACTGTGAACAGTCCAAAAAAAAAGTATTGCATATATGAATGCTTGCAAACCCATGTAACTGCATAATAATTCATACATGTGCAGATGAGAATGTGGATTATTAAAGATGGATGTAGGACACCAAAAGAAACTGAGGCAGGGATGTGAGAACAGCAAAGCTTCCTTAGCCTCCTCAGTTTAACTCCTGAGAGTTAAAAGGTAAAGGCTATATACAGGGAGATAAGAAAACAAAAGCAGGCAGTCAATTTCCTTAGAAGTAAAACCAAAACCAGATTATAGAAAGCTACATGGCCTCTGAAATTCACGAGGCCTTTTTGAGACTTTCCTTATATGGAAACACAAATGACTTGTCTGGAACTCCAGAGAGTCCTGATACGTCAGACTGCAGACAGACACATATAGGTGCCATCGTGAGATGAAATCAGGTCACAGAAAGGCCAATGAAAATAACTTACTTGAAGAAGAAGAAAGAAGGTTTGAGGAAAAAAAGAGAAACTAGAAAAGATGAAGCTGCTAAAAGTATCAGCTCCCCATCCCTGCGATCGTTTTATGCAAGAGCTTGACCTGCTGTATACATGGGCAACAAAAAGTAGAAAATGAATGTTTGTGACCCATAAATAAGTGTAAATAAGATTTAAATAAAAGAACAATAGCAGCCATGTAGTATTCGGTAGCCATGTCAATTAAATTTATGTGAACCGTCTCTTTTCCATCTTACAATAATTGCTTCATATTTAACACCAGGGAAGAGAGCGCTTCATCCACAGAAATGTGTGTGGAAGCCTTATTGAACAAATAACCAAGGTAGGCAAAGAAACACCCTCATGAAGCAGCAAGATTAGCTTCAAGAGATATGTGGTAGAATATAAGCATCTTAACCAAGGAGAAAATGAAGAGGATAAAGGTTTATATTATAGAAAGAAAAGAAAAAAGAATTTCCTAAAAGCAAAAACTCATAGTATACAGGACACATCATGATAAGGGTGATAATGATGTTGATACCACCTTGTCATTGGCAGCTGCTTTATAATCACTTTCATAAGACTAACTGTGCATTATTTGGTACTAACTCAACTTTGTGAAATGCACAAAACACCTATAATTGGTCCTAGTTAACAAATGATAAAGGTGAGGCTTAGAAAAGTTGCCCATGGGCACACAGATAGAAAATGGTAGAGAATGAACTTGGAACTAGATTTTCTGTCTCTAGGTTGAACACTCAAATATCTGGACTGATTAAGCAGTAGTCTTGCCCATCAGCAAAAAAAACTAGAAGGAATGACTTCTAGATAACATCCCCAGTCCTGGGACTCCATGATTCCAGTGTGCTCACTATCCCTTGAATTCCCTCATGACGAACAGCAAGTTCATCTCATCATTGTGTGTGCGCCCGTGTGTGGCAGGTGTATGCATACCTGTACACTAAGAGTAGTTAGGGCAGTACAGAGTCAATACTCACAGAAAGATTAAATAAGCCGGGCTCGGTGGCTCAGCCTGTAATCTCGCGCCTCTGAGGCTGAGGTGAGTGGATTGCCTGAGCCCGCGGGTTCGAGACCCGCCTGGGCGGCGAGACCTCACCTCTACAATAAATAAAAAAATCAGCTGGGCGTGGTAGTGCATGCCTGTAATTCTGGCTACTTGGAAGGCTGAGGCGGAAGGATCACCGGAGCCCAGCAGGTCGAGGCTGCGGTGGCCGGGAGCGGCCGCTGCACTCCAGTCTGGGCGACAGAGTGAGACTCCAACTCAAAAAAAAAAAAAAAAAGAAAGATTAAATAATGAATATCTGACTAGAGCACTGAAACCTGCCTCTCTGCATAGAAATATTCTTACCTTGCATCAAGTTCCTCTTTGCATAAAACATTGACATTTTCATGGTGTTTGGGAGCCTTCTGTTGGCTTCCAAAGCTCTGGGGCCTTACCATGCTGTCACTGTAACAGCCCTCCAGTGAGCCATCAAAAACTCAGCTAGAACACTTTGAATACAGCAGTTTGCTTGTCACCAAAACACTAAATTGCAATATTTTATATTTATCTCTACTTAAATTTTAGTGATGCTGCATAAATGTTAACATAATCTTAAACTAATATAATCATGAAAAAGTTTTAATAACACTGCATATTGGCACAGTCCCTGGGTGAGTTATGGTCTGCTAAGCAGGCCCCACACGTTTCTCAAGTCACCTAGTTAGTCCCCTTTAATTAAGGTATGACATGAAGATGCTACATAGCCCCCCCACCCCCACCCCAGAAATGTATTTCCAGAAGCAATGGTAAGGGATGTGTAGGAAAATCTGTTCATATTAAAGGGAGACAGAAAGTACTTGGGAATAAGGCAAAGATTCCCAAAAAGGGTATGAAGAGAGAGGTTAATAATGTTTGATTTCATTCTTTTCTAGCAAAAAGTAAGCCTTAGTAAGTTCTCAAGCCTCTAGAGCCTTGTAAGGCTAAGATCCTGGACTTCAGGGCTGACACTGCAGCTGCCAATGACAAACTTACAGACACTCTACCTTTCCAGTGGCTGCACAGGAGGAGATTTCCCTGGGCTTCCTGGGAGACCTCTGGTTCTGGGAGGTGAGACCAAGGGAGGCACAGTTTCCCTAGAGGCAAGAGCCTTGACTGTCAACAACAACACAACCACAGGGAACCAGGACTTGAAGATCAAAGCAGGGTAGTGAGAAGGGAAACAAAGGCCCACAGTGCCTCTCCTCATGGAAAATCTCTTCCAGCCTTCCCAGCTTTCTCCACAATTTACTAACAAAAAGTGCTGAACCCTTTCAAAATGAGAGGGCATCTGACTGAGATTCTGATTTGAAAGATAAGTATGGATAAAAGGCAAAGGAAATCTTTTCAAAACAAAGCCTACAATGGTAAATATGTTCAGAATAGCCTTTCTCCTGTAACATCATGACCTGCATCTAAGCAAGGTGACTTCTAATAGCTACCACCCATGCCCTTGTAGCAAAAATCAGAATATTTGTTCCTATTTTAGAAGTACAAAAGGTCATAAAAGCAGATTTTCAAAAATGGGAGAACTATAGCTCCAACAGGCCAACTGCCACATGAAGACATCTTGACCTTTTTAGCATGGGTAAAATGATGTGGTGCCCACATATCTTTCTGCATCCACTCTTTCGAGATGCTGCCTCCCCACCCCTCTTTCCTGATCAGCCTTGTACCACAATCCAGGTTAACTGTAATTCTAAAGAATTCCCAATCCAGAGAGTGCAATAACCTGACTGCATGTAGATTGATTCTAGACAACTAGGGAAAGACATATTGCCCCCAAAGGCCCTCCTTGGTCAGGTTCATCATTTATTCATCACTAGATGCAATTTGACTAGATCCAAAGGATCCCTGCCTCTCTCCTGTCTATAGTTGGTCTAACTTTTATTATAAAACAGAGAATTTGACCTAAGATGTATTATTAAATGTCCATATATAAAAGATGGGAACAAAGCCGGGCTCGGTGGCTCAGCCTGTAATCCCGTGCCTTTGGGAGGCTGAGATGAGTGGATTGCCTGAGCCCGCGTGTTCGAGACCTGCCTGGGCAGCGAGACCTCATCTCTACAATAAATCAAAAACTCAGCTGGGCATGGTAGTGTATTCCTGTAATTCTGGCTACTTGGAAGGCTAAGGCGGAAGGATCACCGGAGCCCAGCAGGTCGAGGCTGCGGTGACCGGGAGCGGCCACTGCACTCCAGTCTGGGTGACAGGTTGAGACTCCAACTCAAAAAAAAAAAAAAGATTGGAACAAAGAGTCACAGATGGTGACCACGTGAGGAAAAATTCATATCTACTTGGAATATGGGCAGAGTCAAATTCTTACTCTAGTTTCGTAGGTAGGAATGTGCACAAACTCAAGTGTAATCTTCTTCCAAGCCAATTAAGCCAAACAATCCTGGCTAATGAGATATCCATTCATACTGTTCACCTGGAAAAGGCAGCTCCCAACACAAATGCAGCATACTCCTTCACCAGGGGCTCTGTGCTGTTCAACCCATTGATCACCACTTGAAGACCACCAAAGGAAAGCAGGTCCTGCGCATTGTCCATCTGAAACAAAGACACTGCTTAGTACAACGCAGTCAAGAAAAGCTCTTCTTATAGTCTTTCTTTGGGTGATTAGCCAAAAACAAATTTAAAAGCCAAGTAAAAAGCAATAATGGCCTTTCTGACTAACCAGAAAAAAGTTTGTAAAAACAAATTAAAGTTTTAAATAATCTTAAATTTGAGAACTCCTAATTCATCTGACACAATTTATGAGCACCTGTGTGGGAATCAGTGGAAATGGCACCTAGCTATTGCTTATGCCAAACATGTCCTGGAAAATTCTAATACCATAATGAGTCACAAAGCTTACTCCTAATGTGCAAGTTGTTAACACAAAGAATTGGCGTCATCAACACCACTAAATGGTGCCATGCTTCCTGTTGATGTCTAACCCCAATGCAGACAGTAGAGTCAGCAGACATTTTTTAAAGCTGATTTTTAATTAGAGGCCAAGAACTACAAAAGGAGCCCTGCTGGAGAAGGGGAGTACAAGAGAGCTAGGAGAGGAATAACAGTAGTACCCTTTTCTTTCATCAAAGGTTGAATACATCTGAAGACATTCATGATAAAATCCATACAAAAGTTGGGCGCGGTGGCTCATGCCTATAATCCCAGCACTTTGGGAGACCAAGGTGAGAGGATTGCCTGAGCCCACGGGTTTGAGACCAGCCCAGGCAACTTGGTGAGACTTCATCTCTACAATAAATCAGAAAAATTATCTGGGTATGGTGGCGCATGCTTGTAGCTCCAGCTATTTGGAAGGCTGAGGCAGAGGATCGCCTGAGCACAGCAGTTCGAGGCTGTGGTGGCTGTGAACATGCCACTGCACTCTAGCCTGGGCGACAGAGGGAGACTCCTCTCAAAAAAAAAAAGAAAAAAAAAATTCCACACAACAATCACTCTCCCAAAGGCTTTATAGTCTAGGTCTGTGCTACTGGCTAGTGCCTATGTGTTTATTGAACAGTGCCAAACATTTCTATCATCACATAAAGTTCTATAAGACAGCATTGGTCTAGGCTGTCGTTAAAGCTCCAAACTCCCAAATTCAGATTATCTGTCTCCTTTATTCTGTAAGGGGTTTCATTAGTATCCTGGAACCAGAAGACTGAACTTCCTCAGAAAGTTCACTGGATTCTGTTTTCCACATGTAATAGCTACAGTCTCCTTTGAAAGTATCTTTCTTGCTACAAAGGCTGCCTCTTGCTCACATGCTGATCCAACTCTATAGAACATCAGGAAAACTCAGGAACCCAACAAAAATGTGATTGTTACCCTCCTTTTGCCTCCAAATTCCACAGATCTACTTCCCACTTGCCTGTGCCCTTGCTTCTGCCTCCAAATCAGAAGAGGGCTTTGACAGAGAAACTGAGTATGAGGAATAGTATTTGACTCTGACATTGTTTTTGGGTAGGCCTAGCCTGTTTTTAACACTCGAAAGATCATTCACATAGGTTTTGATAGACTCCACAGGAGCAGAGGTTCTTGTCTACCTGTCCACTGCTGTAGCTCCAATGACTAGAATAGTGTTGAGCTCAATAAATAATCATTAAACTGATTAATATAAATTTAGTCAGAAAAAAAATTCCTGAAATAAAAAACTCCACTATGAGTTTAAAAGGTTGTCTGGGGTGTCTGTGCCAACAAAATAGATGGGCCCCTGGTACCACGGACCTGAAAAAATGGCCAAACCAGGTCATGAAATAAGCAAGAAGTCTGCTCTGCTGTGCGGCCCCAGGCCACAGCAGAGATTTTTCTGCCCCAATCTGTCCTTATGAAGAGGAATGATCATTGAGACACAGCTCAGCTAACTAAGGAGACTCGGAGTTGGGTGCTTTGCTGACATAAGCACCTTCCTTCCTCGCATGCTCTGATTTTAAAATATAAGAACGCACGGACTATCCTTTGATCGTCCTTCCTCTGGGTTTTCTGGATACAAAATTATGGCTCAGAACTCTGTCATTCCATGCCTGGAATGGCCACTTATCAAAGCTGTATGAATTCTAGAAGAGCAGCTGCCACTCTGTCAGCCCCAAAGCAACATAGCCCAGAGTTAGAGTGTCTGTTCTAGATTCAGTTTATCTGTATTACTACAACGATAATTCAGTGTGATATAAATGCTGACATTTATATAAGCACTTCAGCCTTTTCAAGACGTGTTCTCATTTTTTATTTCACTAGCAGTGAGGAAGAGAGGAGTCATTTTGTCCAGGGCACATCAAAAGCTGGGCCCTCCTGGTGATATACAGGAGACGGCATGACCCAAGCTTGGGTCCACAGCTCCCCACCTGAGTCTGGGGCTAGACCTTTTCCCAGGCTGCCTTCAGGATGGAGTGGGACAGGCAGAGAGGAGCACAAGGAGAAAGTGCAGAAGAGGACTATGCCAATATTTAAGAGGAAATGAAAGAAGCAGAGCACTGACAAGACAATGGGCGAACAGGAAACAGGCAAAGGGAGATGTTAGATGGGGCCAAGAGCCTGATCCTCATAAATAACTCACAACCTGTTTTCCACACACAAGGTTTTGCTTTTCACATATCCTGTTGAATAATTCAAATATGACTGTGAGGAATCCTTGGGCAGACTCAGTTTGGGTCCTTGGAGTCCGTGGCTCCTTAAACCTTCCTTCAGTGAATCTGGAATGGGAGTGGTCTGGGAAAGCTCCTGGCTAGAAAAGTCCTATTTTCCCTCCAATTCCCCATCACAACTAGAACTCAAGGCCGAGCTGTGTCTTATTTAATCCCCCAGTAAAATTACAGTTTAACTCTGCTGCATGCCAGCCTGATGAACCGGCCCAAACCAAGGATGTACACTTCCAGTCCATACACCCATGACCCAGGACATTTATCACCTTCTGCCAACAGACAACATTGGCTTCTACCAGGGGACTGATTCCTGGGATGACCTCAAGCTGACTTTGGTGATGTGCAAGAAACTGTTTATCCCATCCAGTGACCCATGAAAGCAGAATGGAATGTCACCCTAGGGAAGACACTGTCAGGTGACCAAAGGGCCTGCAAGGGAAAGAAACAAAAACACTTTATGGGGCTCTGCTAGCCTAAGCCTCCTGTGTACTTACTCTCTTCTAGGTATAATAAACTCTCCAGTCATTTTGGCGTTTCATGTGCAACTAAAGGAAGAGCCTACAGAACCTGAAACTAAAAGACCCATCCAAGCATGCTGAGAGAAAATAAAAGCTGTCAACTTCAGAGCAGGACTGAGTTGGTCAACAACCCTTTGGATCCTTATCCTTTCAATATCTCTAATGGAAAAGCTGTTGGAATTTTTTAGTTTTATCCTGGAGAGCAAGACTGGGAAGGGGAAAGAGAACCCATGTTCATTTTTTCTTTTTCTCTCTAAGAGGATCACAGTCCTGCCATTTGAGGCCTGAGAAAGTTATAAGCAGAGAAAGAAGATGAAGAGGTTGCCCATAATTCCTGCAGATATAGTACTCATCCTCTTTCACCACAGACACTGGCAAAATCTAAAGAAAGAAAGCATGTCTTTTAGCCCAGTTTATAGAGAACAAGGATGCTGTCATGCATGGGAGGACTTTGAGGATCTATGTCTTGATGAGAATCTCAAACAAGCCTTTGATTATGATTACACAGCCTCCTGGACCACCATTGTCCCTCACCTGGATTACCGCAACAGCCTCCTATCTGGTCTCTGCATCTACCCATGCCCCTCACCTCCAGGCTAATTCTCAATACAGCAGATGGAGGGACCCTTTTAAAAGTAAGTGGGATCACATCATTTTTCTACTCAACATCCTCCAATAATATCCAAGTTCACTCTTTTCCATGGCCCACAAGGCCTGGCATGTTCTTCCCCAGTTATGTCTCTGAGCTCCATCTACTTCTCTCTCCCTTCTGTCAGCTCCAGCCACATTGACCTCCGGTAGTTTCTCAATCACACTAGGCCTGCCCCCACCTTAGGGCTTCTGTACTTGCTGTTCTTCCTGCCTAAGATGCTCCTTCTCAATGCTGCCAATCCCTGCCCTGCTTCACTTTGTATTGTTCCTTAATATTTACCACCTTCAAATATATTCTTTATAATTTACTTATTTGTTACATTTATCTATCTGCCTCTGCTAGGAGGTAAGCTCCAAACTGGGTCATGTGCCTGGAACAGTGCCCTGACTTTGCAGGTACTCAATACATTAATTTATTGAATAAATGAATGGCTTCTCCTGGCTCCTTCTCCTTACGTCTACCTATTCACTTTTGAGCTTCATTCAAAAGGTACCTGCCTCCTTTGAGAAGCAGGATGGTCAAAAGTTTAAGAGCGCAGACCTTGTTGAAAAGCTCAGCTCTACCCCTCACTAGGCTTGAGCAATCACATAACCTCTCTGTGCCTCATTTTCCTCAGTTATAAAATGGAATCAATAGCGGTGCCCATTCATAGGATAGATGTGGAAGTCAATGAATTAATGTGCACATAGTACCTGGCTAGCTCAGTTGGTAGAGCTTGAGACTGTTAAAATGTATACAAAGTATTTGAAGTAATGTCTGGTATTTAATAATGCTTACTAAATACTATCTGTTATAAGTCTGTTCAGTTACTTCCCTGCTTCAAACTGTCCAGTGCTTCTTAGGATCAAGGTTAAAATCATGAAGCGAATGATACTGGCCAGGCAAGTGGCTTGCACCTGTAATCCCAGCAATTTGAGAGGTCAAGGTGGGAAAATGCTTGAGGCCATGAGTTTGAGACCAGCCCGGACAGCATAGTGAGAACCTCACCTCTACAATAAAAATAAAAATTCTGACCTGGGCAGCCTAGTGAGACCTTGCCTCCACAAAAAATAAAAAAATTAGCTAGGTGTGGTTGCATGCCTGTAGTCCCAGCTGCTCAGGAGGCTGAAAGAGGAGAAGCACTTGAGCCTAGGAGGTCAAGACAGCAGTGAGTCAGGTTCACACATACCACTGCACTCCAGCCTGGGTGACAGAGTGAGACCCTGTCTCAAAAATAAATAAACAAACAGACAGACAAATAAATAAATAAAATGTGTCAGGCATGGTGGCACAAGCCTGTAGTTCTAGCTACTTAGAAGGCTGAGGCGGGAGGATCACTTGAGCCAAAGAGTTTGAGGCTGCAGTAAGTTATGACTACACCACTGCACTCCAGCCTGGGTGACTGAGTGAGACCCTTTCTCTTAAAAAATAAATAAATAAAATAAAAGTAAAAATAAAAAGTTTTAATAATTAAAATAAAACCCAACTTATTTAAATAATCATAATCATAATGCAATCCGGGTGCAGTGGCTCACATCTGTAACCCCAGCACTTTGGAAGGCAGAGGCGAGAGGACTGCCTGAGCCCAGGGGTTCAAGACCAGCCTGGGTAACTTGGAAGGAGACTTCATCTCTACAATAAATCAATAAAAATTAACCAGGCATAGTGCTACATGCTCATAGCTCCAGAGCTACTTGGAAGGCTGAAGCAGAAGGATCACCTGAGTCCAGCAGGTCGAGGCTGCAGTGACCATGAGCACACCACTGCACTCCAGCCTGGGTGACAGAGTGAGATTCCAACTCAAAAAATAAAATAAAATAAATAATAATAATGCAAAACAAAGGCATTATATTCCCAACCTAACCTCTCTGACTCCCCAACCTTCTAACCTTCCTTATCTTCACTACCCTTCTTCCCCTGGCCACGGTGCTCCAGTTACTCCAATCTTTTCCAGACCTCCAATCTCACCAAGCTCTTCTCTGCTCCAGAATCTTTGAGCATTTTGTTTCATGTACCTGAAATGCTCTTATCTAAGGACTGGCAAACTTTTTCTTTTCTTTTCTTTTTTTTGAGTTGGAGTCTCATACTATCGCCCAGGCTGCAGTGCAGTGGCATGCTCACGTCGACCTGCTGGGCTCAGGTGATCCTTCCGCCTCCCCGCCTCAGCCTTCCAAGTAGCCAGGACTACAGGCGCATACTAACACGCCTGGCTAATTTTTTTATTTATTGCAGAGATGAGGTCTCGCCACATTGCCCAGGCTGGTCTCGAACCCATGGGCTCAGGCAATCCTCTCACCTTGGCCTCCCAAAGTGCTGGGATTACAGGTTTGAGCCACTGCAACCAACCTATGCAAACTTTTTTCTAAAGTGTCTGATAATAAATATTTTTGACTTTGTGAGCCATACGGTCTCTGGCACAACTCCTCAACTCTGCCATTATAGCAGTCATAAGCAATGCATAAACAATTTAGGGGCTGCTGTGTCCCAATAAAACTTTATTTACAAAAGGTAGCACTGGGCTAGATTTGGCCAAGGGGCCATAGTTTTCCATCTCCCACTCTAGTCCTCCCTCTTCACCTGGCTAACCCTAATCATCCTTTAGTGCTCAACCTTAATGTCACACCCTCTGAGACACCTCCATTATTGCGCTGACTAGGCTCTAAGTTCTCCTATTACATATGCCTATATCACCCTCTGGAACGCTTATCACAATTTTAAATTATCTCATTATTTAATCATTAATTTATTCAACTGCTCATTGTTTAATTGCTTCCCCTTCAATACTATGAGCTACATGAGACAAGGACTGTATCTATTTTACCTCCGCTGTATCAAAAAAACAAGATAATACTCCAAACAAAGAAGAGGTTGGCTCTGGCCTCCAAGAATGTATCTTACTACACTAGACAATGACCTGGATTAAAATACTCTATGCCCTGAGAAAGAAGATGCTGACGCTATTTTCTTAGAGTTAGGGCAAAAAGATTTATTTTTGGAGCTGTTAGGTGAAAGTCTGACTTATGGACAAATAAATACAGTACCTGATGAACATAATATTCGAGATCAAAGAGGGCAGCAATCTTCTCTTCCAAGCTAGAGCTGGAACTGTTGAACCTGTTGATGAGTCGTACCATGATCTGCATGTCAGTCTCAATGACAACATTCAACTCCTCAAAGTCCTTCTTCAGCTCCTCAATGGGGCGGAAGAGCCGCTGTACCTTGGCCTGCCTTTCCTAAGGAGAGTGGGAAAGAGATGATTAATTAAATCGATTTGAGACATCTTCCCAAGACATCTGTGGCCTACCATGGATGCCCATCCTCAAAGAACTGCTGCTCCAAGACTCACAGTCTTCTCTAATCTGCACTATCAGAAATTCTAACACTTTCTAAGATGCCCAGAGAATAGAGTCCTGAGTCTACCCAATCTACCCAAACAGGCCTCTGCTCCAAAATACACTCAAAAATTTCCAAGGTTCATTTATTCAAGTCTGACTTCCAGTGTTCGGAAAGTGAAATGTCTTCTTATTGCAATCACTGAAAAAAGAGGAAGCAAAGCAAACTCATCTTCAACCCCTAACCTCACGTGAGATGGCTGAGATCTAAGGTAAAATAATCCATACCCTGGTTCTCTACCTTCTATAATCACAGACAATCTTGGCCTTGCCCTACCCAACCCAGCAACATTTTAGGGAAACTTGGACGCAGAAACCTGTGGGTAAGAACTGTCAGAGCAAGAGCAATTTGATGACGAAAATTAAATCACTGTCATTACTGTCAGTCTAACCACAGGTGTACAATTTGTTCAACTGTTTGAAACAGCTAAATTACTGTATGTACTATACTCAAATCTCAAACAATTTTCTCTCAATCTCTCCCCACCCCCACACACATATAAAGATTTTAAAAATGAAGTTATGTTGGAGGTAATAAAAGATGTTAATTAAATATTGTATACACGTGACACTCCCTGTTTTCTTCCCCGTTTAGAGGCTAGTGCTTATAAAGAGAGTCTGAAAAGTCACAGTGCTTTATGTATTTGTCTTCCAAGAAAAATTAAAAGGCATGGATATTTATAAAAAGCAGAATGATGAGCAGCTGTCAGCTTCAAATTGCTCATCTATCACCTATGGGTTTCTCTCCACAGTTACAGGCACTCCATAGAAACACCAACCAAAGAAATGAATCAGCCTCTCTTTAAAAAGATCAAGCTCCTAGCAGAGTAGTCACATCTATGAGGTGCCACATCTTGATTCTCTGGGCTAAAACAACATGAAATGCTCTCCTGCATCCAGCTAGAGGTCTCTGGATGGTTGCCCAAGTCAGGTCTGAGAAGGTTGAGTCACTTTCTACAGCTGTGAGGTGACAAGAAAGAGAACACAATAAGCAACTCGTGACATCTGTCTCACAAAAGTGATGGGTGCCTGGCTTTCAAGAAGGTCTTAAAAAGAAAAAAAGAAAAAAAACTTTTATTTTGACACAATTATAAACTCTCAGGAAATTATAAAATACAGACCCTTCTTACAGCCTCCCCCAATGTTAACATTTTACATTTATTGATAGAACAATATCAAAATCAAGAAAAATACAATACTGTTGACTATAGGCCTTATTCAGAGTTCACCAGTGTTTGCATGCACTAATGTGCATGTATGTGTATTATTCTATGCAATTTAATCTAAGATACAGACTTATGTCATTACCAGCACAATCAAGCTTTAGAACTGTCCCACCACCACCAAACTAAGTGACACCACACTGTGCTACCTCTTTATAGCTGCACATAATCCTCCTACTCTGTTCCCTCCTGTCCCTGTGCCCTCACAACCACTAATTTGTTCTCCACCTCTATAATTCTGGGATTTGGAGAAGGTCACAAAAATGGAATCACACAGTCTGCAATCTTTTAAGACTGGCTGTTTTCACTAAGCCTAATGCCCTCAAGATCAATCCAGCATACATATCAACAGTTCATTTCTCTTTAGTGCTGAGTACTATTCCATCGTATAGACACACAGTTTGTTCAGCCATTCACCAGCTGAGGGACATCTGAGTAGTTTCTAGGTTTTGGTTATTATTAACAAAACCACTATGAACATTAATACAGGTTTTTGTTTAAACATAGGTTCTTATTTCTCTGGGAGACAGGCCTAAGAGTGTAATTGCTGGGTTATATGATAAGCATATGTTTCATTTTATAACAAACTGCCAAACTGTTTTCCAGAGAGGCTGTATCATTTTACATTCCCACCAACAATGTATGAAAGACCCAGTTTCTCCATATTCTCACCAGTATTTAGTATTATCATTTTTTAATTTTAGGCACTTTCATAGATATAATGATATCTCACTGGGGATTTAATTAACATATCCCTAATGACGAATAATGTTAAACTTCTTCTCGTGTGTTTATCTGCCATTTGTATTCCTCTTTGATGAAATATCTGTTTTGTGTACTTTGCCCAATGTCTAAATAAGTTGTTGGTTTTTACTATTGAATTTTGAGAACTCTTTATATAGTCTAGATAAAAGTCCTTCGTCAGATACAGATGTCCTTGCTTTGCACAGATTGATATGCACCAATTTAAAATACCAGTTTAAATAACACTGGTTTCCCAATACAACTCAAATTTCAGTTACCACAGTATATTAACTATGAGTAATCGCATTAAGTACCAACACTGCTGCCAGCTTTTCAGTCCCTAAATTGCTACATAAATAACAAAAATGACCATCACAATCACTGATCACATGACTTCTTTTAAAGTCTGTCAGTGGTTGGCCACTGTGTATCTGTTATTCAGCTCATACATAGGTGAAAAGTGTGTAGTTATATGACCCCCTCATCGCCCAATGATAAACCCATGTGACATTTCACAAAAATGGATCGCCAAAAGAGAGAACAGCCCAGCAAAGGTGAAAGTGCACCAAAGAAACGAAAAGTGGTAACCTTGGCAGTGAAATTCAAGTCGAACATACATGGAGTTACAGAACAAATAGCTAGCTGTGGGAATGTTAACACTGCCACTGTTTGATAAACTCTAGATGTGCAGCCAGAGAAACTTAGCAAAGGCAAACTATGGTCACAAATTAGGAGAGTGATGAAAAGGACGAAGTGACACTGGGAAAAAAACTTCACATTATAGGAATTCTCTGAGAAATTTCATAACATTGAAAGCACCAAGGATAAAATGTTGGAAGCTGATCCACCCTTAGGAGAATAATAATTCACCAAGAGAGAAAAGGTATTTGTTCCATGTCATAAGTAATATAATGAGAAGTTAAGCACTATTCATACTCTTTGGTAAGCTTTTTTACAAATAACTTTTTAATTATTTAATTAAACTTTAATTCTCAATTATTCTAACATTTTAAGTTAAAGTATACTAAATAAATATTAGTATTAGAAATTTTTCACATGTATATACTTTTATAATCAATACTAATGTAGTATTTTTAATGTTTGGCAGACATTTATAAAGGTCATGCAACAGTTATAACAATTATAATTATAATCCTTGATTATATTAAGATTATTTTGCATAGTTTCAGCATGCACAGTCATTTTTACAGTGCCACACGATAACAGTGAGGTCTACTGGTATGTGATCTGTAAATACTTTCTTTCAGGAGCTTATTTTTTCATCTTAACAAAGTCTCTTACAGAGCAAAAGCTTTTAATTTTGGTTATGTTCAATTTATCAAATCTTTTGTTCATTGTGCATTTGTTTTCATGTCTTAAGAACTCTTGGCCTGGTCGTAGTTCCCAAAGAATTTCTCCTATGTTTGTTGTTGTTGTTGTTGCTGTTGTTGCTGGATTGTGGTGGTGGTGGTCGTGTTTTTGTTTGTTTGCTTTTGGAGTCAAAGTCTCATTCTGTTGCACAGGCTGGAGTGTGCACTGGGGCGATCATGGCTCACCACAGCTTCAACTTCCTGGGCTCAGGGGATCCTTCTACCTCAGTCTCCCAAGTAGCTGTAGCTGGGACTACGTGTACATGCCAACACATCCAGCTAATTTTCAAAAATTTTTTGTACTAGCCAGGCTCGGTGGTTCAGCCTGTAATCCCGCACCTTTGGGAGGCTGAGGTGAGTGGATTGCCTGAGCCCACGGGTTCGAGACCCGCCTGGGCAGCAAGACCTCATCTCTACAATAAATCAAAAAATAAGCCGGGCGTGGTAGCGTGTGCCTGTAATTCCGGCTACTCGGAAGGCTGAGGCGGAAGGATCGCCAGAGCCCAGCAGGTCGAGGCTGCGGTGGCCGGGAGCAGCCGCTGCACTCCAGTCTGGGCGACAGAGTGAGACGCCAACTCAAAAAAAAAAAAAAATTTTTTTTTGTAGAGACAAGGTCTCACTATGTTGCCCAGGTTGGTCTCCAATTCCTGACTTCAGATGATCCTCCTGCCTAGTCCTTCTAAAGTGCTAGGATTACAGGCATGAGCCCAGTCCCTATGTTGTGCCCAGTCCCTATGTTGAGTCTTAAAGATTTTTTTCACTTTTACATTTTATATGTAAATCTATGATCTATTTTCAATTAATTTTTCATGTGTGAGTCTCTTTCTGGATTTTTTATTCTGTTCCATTGATCTATGTTTCCTTCTCTCCACCAGTGCTGCATTGTGTTAATTACTGTAGCAGCAGAACAAGTCTTAAAATCAGGTGGAGTGATTTCTTCCACTTTATTATTTTCCTTTTTATTTTTTTTTGAGTTGGAGTCTCACACCTTGCCCAAGGTAGAGTGCAGTAGCACACTCACAGCCACCCCAGTGTTGACCTGCTGGGCTCTGGCGATCCTTCTACCACCTCAACCTTCCAAGTAGCCAGAACTACAGGCGCGCGCTACCACGCCAAGTAATTTTTTTTTTAATTGTGTAGATGAGGTCTCGTCAAGTTGCCCGGGCTGGTCTCGAACTCATGGGATCAGGCAATCCACTCGTCTTGGCCTCCCAAAGTGCTGGGATTACAGGTTGAGCCACAGAGCCCAGCCTTATTTTTCTTAACAATTGCTTTAGCTACTCCTTCGTCTTTCCATGTAAACTATAGAATAGGCTTATCTATATCTTAAGAAAAAAAGCACTTGCTGGGATTTTGATGGGAATTGCATTAAACCTATAGATCAATTTAGGGAGAACTGATGTTTTTATTATATTGAGTTTTACAATCCCATGGACATAGTATGTCCCTCCATTTATTTACATTTTCTTTGATTTAACTTCATCATCATCTTTCATCAACTTTT